AGGCTTGAACAAGGTTTACACTTAAACTATTTCCAAATATATGTTTGGTAATGAATAACCAAAGTGGACTAAGTGCTTCAACTTCAAGTGTACAGGTATAGCTCATAGCATAATAATTGAGAAGGGCATAAACATTAATTTGCAGGTTTGATTGCTTACATTTGACTTTTTTTCCTAAGTTTCTACCACAGGTGTTTCTTAACTGTATGCCAAGACTCAGTGCAAAAACTATTCTAAAAAAAAGACACATTTGTCCTTCCATAATTTTTTTTGAGGCATGACCAGTTGCTTCAAACAAAGTTCATAAACTTTGCATACCAGACTCAGTCAATCTGGGCTTTTACTTTGGATACTAGTACTGGAAAATGAAACATGAACATGTGGTTGCCTGCACCTTGCTCCCAGCCAGTAAAGGTAATCAAAAAAGGGGGCAACGAAAACCTTGATAGCGTCTGGGTAAGAAAAAGGCAAATGAGCCTGTTGCATCGCTATGAATACAAGGTATGGTGTATTGTTTGCACAACCTAATTTAAGAAGTGAAACTAATTAAAATAAACTACACAAGACTAGCAGATAATGGATTATCCAACAAATAGAATGCCTCTCTCTTTCAACAGCTACTCTTCTAACAGATTCCCTCGACCCCTTTACACCCCAACATCAGTATGCATATTCTCCATACTGGTCTTCATACATTTCCGAAGATACTGACAAGGAGAATTTGTTTAAAAATAAAGAGCTTCTTTCAAGGGTGTGTTTCATTTATCAAATAGGCTTTGCCTCTTGTTGATAGATTTACTTAATGGCAAGAATCGTGATTATCATTAATTCCATGGATTGATTTAAAAGTGTTAGATTATTATGTTTCGAGTCAGTTTTTCACTGGAATCAAAGTGAGAAAGAAGTTATTTTGTTATAATTTTTTCTGTTTCTAAATTCGCCTGGAGAATCTGCTAACCTGTAAAGTGAGACTGTTGTAACAACCCACCACAGAAGTAAGTTTGCATTAAAGATTTCTAATTTAGCTATGAGATTAAGGCTTGACTTGCGTTTGTTCTGATTTCTAATTATAAATGTATTTCTTTTAGATCGAATAGTTATTAAAGCTTGGCTTGATATTATGCCGTTTGTGGTGGTCATTTGATTTAACCAGTTCAGTGTAAGGAAACAGGATGATCTTTTCTTTTATTCTCATGAACTTAATGTGCATTGTGGGTTATATTATAAGCAGAAATTAGATACTAGTATCTCAGGGGTCAAAGGGTTAACTCTTCCAAGAAAGATTAGAAATTGACCTCTTTCAAACATTTCAGGAAGACAAGACAATTCTCTGGTCACACAGTATCAACAACTAGTATTGGGACTAAATGGCTACTAATAAGTTTGCTGGTGTAGCTTGTCAGGGTCTTAATAAGCAGAAGTGAACAAAAAAGAGGCAATGCAAAAACAACATTATAGGTCTGGCAAAAGAAAGTGAGGCATAAGCTCTTCCTCTTGCTTCCACTAAGCAAGAGACTAAAACTTAGCTCATGCTGGTTGTGTCTATAGTGTGTAAATTGAACAATTACTGGACATTTACAGAGTTCTTTAAGGACAAAGGATAGAAGTTTTCAAACATTTAGGTCTATAAAAAGACAACTTTGCAAATTTCTATTTTTTACTCATTACCTTCACCATCACTTTCCTCCCCCCCCCCCTTTTTCCAAAAAGAGATTTGCTTTTTGCAAGCAATGAGTCAATCTTGCGTATATTTAAAAGTCAGCTACTTTGTTGAGTAACAAAAGACGAGTCAAGTTTGAATCACTTTACATTTTAATGATACAACTACTGAGCATTGGAAGTTGAAAGACAGCTGACCATTTTACTGAAAAGGAAAAGAGAAACAAAATATGAATGACTGACAGTATAATTGTTTTCTCACACAGTTAAGTTTGAAATGAAATAATCCCATGAATATCCTTCCCCATGAAAGTATTAGCTATCCAACCTTGTAATTATTTTCATTTTGATTAAGAAACAAAAAAAAGACAAGTAAAGGAACCATTTTCCTTCCTTATATCAATTGATCACTACTCATGAACTAAGATAACCTCACATCCAAAAAATAGAACCAAGATAAACATGATCACTTTTATTTTTTACCGTTTCCTTTTAAGGGTGATTTGCTGAGAGGGTACAGTGAATTCTCAAGATCATTCTCAGGGCATATTATTAAGCAGAGCCAATGCAGTCCTCCATGAATGAAACAAAATAAAAATTTGACAATGAATAAATAAAACAACTGGACTAACCTTCTTTCCTGTAGCACCAACTTTAGCCTTCTTTGTTCCACGAACCTTCTTCATTCTGTTCTTCTTTTCCTTTCGCTGTTTGCGTGATGACTTTGGCTTTTCATAAAGTCCATGCTGGACAGGTGATGAAAAAAAATAAAATGGTCAGCAAAACACAACAGCCCAAATCAAAATTTTGATTCAAAGTTTCAGAGGTTAGAGTATAACAATATTCCTAGGGTACTTTTGCCATTCAGCAATTTTTTCCTGACAAGTTTTGCTAATTCTGGTTTTATCAGCTGAGTTGTTAATGTAAATTGGCCACCATAAAGATTTTCAAAGCTGACATTTCAAGCGTTAGCTCTCCATCAGAGCAAACAATGAGGGGCTAATGCTCGAAGCATCAGCTTTGGAACTCTTTACAGTGGCAATTTACATTATCAACTCAGTTGATAAAACCAACATTATCTTGTTATACTCCCCCACAGACGTAGCACCACAGTTTCTTCAGAAACTTACCCTCTTTGTTTATTAACAATTAGACAATACCAGGTCATTGGAAATTTGGATCTTAAGTCTGACAGTAATATAACACTGTCTTTAACTGAGTAACAATGTTTGCACAAGTGTACAAACTACTCTTAGAGTTGACATGAATTATGAGCTTAATTTCATGTAAATGTACTTTAACTCACTCTAGTCAGGCGGTACTTTGGTTCAAACTTCTTAGCAAAATCCAGGGAGTCATATATCAAAGCAAAACCAGTACTCCTGCCACCGCCATAAGCAGTTTTAAAACCAAAACAGAAAATTACATCTGGGGTGGTTTTATACACTTTGGCCAACTTTTCACGGACTTCAGCCTTTGAGACATTTGGTCTTCCAGGGTGAAGAATATCTACCACCTATGAATCAAACAAATCAGCATGTTTTGCATCAGTTCACACATGTGCTTTAAACAGCTTGATGTAGAAAGAAAGTAACTAGATCACAGAAGATGTCAAAATCTGGTAAGAACATCAGTGACACACTCCCCTCTGTCTTGTGTACCACTTTTTTACTTACCTCTTTTTGATGTTATTACAAATGCACAGCAACATAGAGTCTATTTGTTTAGAAGCAGAACTTTGATAATAACTCGGGACTACAGAACAAGGAATATCCCTATAGGATATATCAAACAAAGATCTTAAACCAAAAATTCCGCTCTTATTCTAGCAAAAAAAATTTTCATTAACATAGAATAAGAGAAGAGTTATGAGGACATTACCTACATCTACGCTCTACCACGTACATACAATTAGTATTGGAATAGGACAAAATTGGCACACTAACACACTGATACAACACTAAAAAGCCACAGAAAAGTCGGGTACAAAACAGACCTCCTTTACACGAAGAAGAGATATTTCCCCCGGATCTTATCAAAGGATTCTGAGGAAAGAGCCACATTAAAGCTACAACAAGGCAATAAAATATAACATTAAGGGTATGAATTACCATTTGCTTCCGTTGAAGCAGGCGGTTAGTAAGGAACTTTCTCGTTCTGATTGTTGCTGTACCGTCGCTCTATAACATACAAAAACATGAACTGTTCATCGGTTTAATTCACGATAACAGGGTATTTTCCTCTATGATACATTTTATTCGAAATTTGCTTAGACTTATACGAATAAACATGGAGTCATATTGTACGTTGATAGGAAATGAGCAACTTCTGGGCCTCCACTACTAGTGTGTTCAGCATCTTCCACAATGATGTTAACGAACTTCAACAACACTGTAAATGACGTTTTCCCGCAAGAAATTTCAGAAAAGACCTCCAGAATTATTATATAAGTATTTATTTATTCATTACATTTCGTTTTAACTTCAGAAATGGACGGATGCATTAGTATTGAGAGGATTGCTCTCCTCACTTCGCTTCAAACTCACCATTTTGCTCAGGTAGACATTAAAGAGAACGAAGGAGAGGCCACGATTTGCTTCGTAGCCTGGCCTTTCTCATCAAATATGGCGGACGTTGCTAGTGCTGTATCTTTTGCCTCAAGCAAACGCTGTGAAACAGAGAGGAAGGTCAAAAAATCAAAAGCTAAGAAAAAGAAGAAGGTACCGAAGAAGCCAGTGGTGGAGATCAATTCAAGAAAAGACCGAAGAATTATAAATGAATACCATGCTTTGAACAAGAAAATCGACTCTCTACGGAGGAGTACCTCAATTCAAATGAAAGATAGGTCAATTCAAATTGCGAATCTCGAAGCGAAGAAAGAAAAGCTTGGTGGTATAAATGCTTACCAAAAGGCATCGAAACTTGGAGAGGCTCGTCATGGGAGTTTTAACTCAGCAAAATGGATACTGAAGCAGATAAGAGATTTTGATGTTTGTAAAGTAAACTCTGTCACAACTAAAGCCACAGAGGCAAAAATAAGGTTACTTGATGTTGGTGCTCTTGACAATAACTATAGAAAGCACCAAAAATGGATTCAGTGTACATCTATTGATTTAAATCCGCGGAGTGACGCTGTTGTGAAGGCAGATTTTCTTAAACTTGAAGGCAACAAACTGTATGATGTTGTTGTCTTAAGTTTGGTGATCAACTTTGAAGGTGACGTACGTAGACGAGGGCAGATGCTTCGAAAATGTCAACAGCTCATAATGGACCAAGGATATCTGTTTATTGTTCTCCCTCTTCCTTGTTTGAACAATTCAAGATACTTAAATGACGATCTTTTTGTATCTATGATGGAAAGTCTTGGGTTTAAAGCATGTGCCCGCCATAAGAGCAGAAAATTGAGTTTCTTCATGTTCAGAAAAACTGGCCATGCTAAGGTCAAATCATTCCCAAAGAAGGTCTTACGGAATGGTGGAAACCATAACAACTTTGCAATCATATTATGAAAGCTTAGGGGTTAACTTTAAACTTTGTTACAACATTCAAAATCCTAACTGTATCCTGAATGATGTCTGACAACATGTTTTTCAATATTCAGTTTGTTTTCAAAAAGTATTCCCCTTTTCCCCTGAATTTTGCTTTTCCTGAATGCCTCTTAAATTACCTTAATAAACAATGTGAAAACTGAGGAAAATATCTTCTTTAATGGAAAAAAAATTACACCATATTGGGTTAGTTGGCATGAGTTATCCACAGTGAGAATTATAGGCAATGGTGGTACTTTGCTTCTTGGCCAAATATTTATCTTTTTTAGACTATCTCAGCCACGGATGTTATCAGCCATCATATCAGCTGCATGAAGGGGGTTATTAACTAAATACTGTATTAGTGGTTGAGACATTTAGTAAGACAAGACATTTGGAAGGAACTTTGTTTTACCTTTTTACACCCTAAAATCTGTATGCATATTCTCCATACTGTTCTCTATACATTTCCCATGGTGCTGACAAAGAGAATTTGTCTAACAGTCAAGAGCTTCTTTGGTTGCTGATCTGTTCCTTTATTCTTGTGACCCTCATGTTTGATTCAGGGGTGATATTGTAAGGAGAAATTAGATGTAAGTCACTGTTAGGGGTCAAG